GTGGGCACATTAGCGAGGGAGGGGTGCAGGAGGTGGGCACAGCTGGCCAAGGCTTGCTTCACAGGTGGAGATGGGTTTCCTGAAGACTTTCCTGTGAGGGGGACATCTCTGGCTGGACAACTGCACATCTCTGCTGCTGCAAAGGTGGAGCTGGATGCTCAGGGTGGAGGAGTCACTATGAAAACGTCAACTTGGACGCGTGTCCTGGACATCCCAGCGGGCACCCTGCTGCCCAAGCACCCAAGACGGAGGCAGACAGCAGGGGCCAGGGCAAGGGCCCAGCGCTTGCAGACTGAAGACCCAGTGGACTGAGTTCAACCACGGGGCTGAGCACATGTAGGCCACTGCGAGGCGGACGAGGGCCTTCTCCCATGAGGAGGGCACGGCTGGTGCAGGGCCAGTCCCCAAGCCCAGGATGGGTGGTGTGCCAGCCCACAGGGGCACGGCAGAGGACGGGTGAGCACAGAGGCAGCCAAGCAGAGCGACACAGGCTCCTGGGGCAATGGGGTCTACCGTGAGCTGAGCCAGGCAGGCGAAGCCTGGGGTCACATGACTGTCCTGGGAGGAGACATTCTCTGGGAAGGCCAGAGAGGATGTGTGCAGGATCCTCAGGCCCCCAGGCAATGCCCTCCCCTCGTTCTTGCTGAAGGTCCACTAGTTTTGCTTTTTTCTTCTTTATATTTTACATTTTAAATGTAAAAAACACTTTCAGCTCAAGAGCCACTCAAAAGCAGTTTTGGCCATCCCTGGCCCATGGGCCTCTGTTTGCAAACTGCAGCGGGAGCACTGTGGAGGTTTCTGGCACCTGGCAGGCGGTCTCGGAACCCACGAGGGCTTCACACGCAGAGCAGGAGCCGGGGAAGCAGGAGGAGGCTGAGCCAGTGCTCAGGTTCTGACGCTCCAGTGGATGAAGTGAGAGACGGAAAAGGGAGGGAGGAGGGGAAATGAGGGCTGCAGGATCCTGGAGGAGCAGCAGCTGGGGGGCCAGGGCGACAGGGAGCGAGTTCAGGGGACTCTGGCCTGAGGGTATGGAGTGGGTGATGGCCCAGGGCGCGAGGGCAGGGACCTGGCCCTGGCATGCCACTGAGGGTCCTGCAGCCCTGGGGACAGGGAACCCACATCGTCAGGGATCACTGGGGCAGGGCTGCCAGAACTTATAGGCCACTCCGCTGTTCCCAAGAGCAGGCGATTCCACAAGGTGGGTCCAAGGAGGAGGGCGGACGCCCCACAAGGCACCATCTTCTGCTCTAACCACAATGTGGAACGAGTTCTTGCTAAAATGCCACTGTTTTTATTCTGCAACTAAAACTACTTAAAAATGTCCCATCAAACACTCTCACTCTTCATTGACTGTGCAAGTCAACGACACACAGCTGTCTTTGCTCCACCAACAAAGGGCACCATCCCTGCACTAAGCCTAAACCTAACCATGCAAACACGCTCCAGTGTTTACGTGGCTCCAATGATCTGGTTTCTCCCTGTGACAACACCACTGTAGCACGAAGCTCCTAAAACACAGTAAAAACGCACAGGAAGTGGCTTTACCTCCAGTTCATGGCCGCCAATTCATTGATATATTCAGCACAATAGACTAAAGTCACTGAAAAAAGACAGAAATCATGTGTTAGAATTTAGATGACCAATTGTTAATAATTACAGAATAAAACTATATGTTCTCTAAACAAAATATCCAACATTAATATAACAGAATAATGAGAGTTTGATGAGAAATGTAATTTCTATCTTAGACAAAACAGCAGCAGGGCTGTGGCAGGAACCCAGGCCTTCTCCTGGAAGCTGAGTGCTCACCATGCCGTGCTGCTGTGCCTCACAGGGCACTTCCTGCGTGACACCAGCCACGGTCAAGTCCTATAACGCACCATGCTCAGAATGCCAGAGCTGTGAGACTCAGGCTAAACCTAACTAGTTTCCACCTTGCACTTCTGGGGCTGCCCTTGCGAGACTGTAACTGAGTCTTCCACAGAACACAGACAGAAAAGCACCTAGAGGTGCTGGGAGCAAAGGCCGGGGAGGGACAACAAACTCCTGCAGCAGTAGTAATGCTGCAGCTTTGCGATCCAGGGCTGCAGTCTCCACTAATCCTTGCCAGTCCACCTGCAGATGACAGGGAGTCACGGGACTTCCCCCAGCTCCCAAGTCATTCAGAGGCAGTGCTGATATTCACAACTGGGGGCTGACAGCCCCTGCTGCTAACATACTGACCCACACAGGAACTGAAACAGGGAGTCACGGGACTTCCCCCAGCTCCCAAGTCATTCAGAGGCAGTGCTGATATTCACACCTGGGGGCTGACAGCCCCTGCTGCTAACATACTGACCCACACAGGAACTGAAGATGTGACACTGCAAACTTAAGCACCCGATGCTTTCATTTCTATTATAATTTCTCAGCTAAGTCAGTCAAAACATGCAAACACTTCTATTCTTGTTGACGCCTGTCAGAAAGTAGACTGAACCAGGGGTCCACAATCTCCTGACTCCTTCCCTCTGTGCATGGACCCCGCAAGGCACAAGGAAAGAAGCAGAAGGAAAAGAGCGAAGAGGACCAAGGGAGCTAATCAAAGAGGAGGGAGCAGCGATCTCCCTGCCAGATGCCACCCAGCCGACAGCAAATTTGCAGGAGAGCCCCCTGCAGCCGCCCCAGTTGAGATCTTGATGTTGTCGCTTATCAGCTGTGTAGCCAGGGAAGTTAGGGAACCTCGGGATGTTTCATATGTAAAAACGGGGAAATGATACCTGACTCTTAGGTTGGTTTGAGAACTGAATGAGTGAGAAGGCATGTAAAAGCCCACGGAACAGTGTCTACTGTTACCCAAGTGCACAGTAATCCCCCTCTTCACCCTGGAATATAACCCACACATAGCTCTGCTTCACTGCAGCTCATCTGATGAGATTACCACCTTTCTCTGAGGTCCTGCCCCAGGGCCTCTGTACTCTGCAAACATAACACCCCTGCATGGAGCATTTGTCCGGCCTCCTGCTGCAGAACTGCTGCCTGGCTCATCCCTGCCACAGTGATTTAACTCAGCCCCTTCCTCATGTTTCTGTGTGTTCCTGACTTTCTTGTCACGACGCTCACACAGCTGACAATGACCAGCTGGGTCTGTGACTATTCAGAATGTCGGTGCTCCCCTCGGAGGTATGCCCAGCATTCCTCAGTACACAATATGATAAAGAGTCTCGTAGGAAGAATGAAATTATTAACTCTATGTACGCCTTCCCCGCACAGGACCAGTCTTTCCAAGACAGTCTCTTGTCCAGGTTTCCTCCATGTGTGCGGTTGACTGAACTTACCTCCCTTCTCCAGCCAAGCCCGTTTGGATTTGCTTGGCGTCAGAAATGCTCAGCACCTGCAGGGATGATGGTTTCTCTGACTCCTGATCCAGGCCTCTGCCCACCTCTGCTCACGCTGCCCTCTTCCCACCCTCATTTGGGTGCCTTCTCCCTGGATCTCATGCCCAGGCTAGTTATCTATTCCTTATCTTTTCTTATTAGCATTTTATTCACTCTTTACAAGCTGTGCAACGACTTTATTTTTTTCTGTATAATCTTTCTCAATCATTCCATACAACTCTATTCCTCCTCTAAATTAAAGATAAGGGCTACAGGAAAACTAATTTGGGCAATGTCTTGTTTTATGCATAGAACTTGCCTTCCCAGTTTGCATTCTTCCTCCCAAAGCAAGCAATGCAGGAATAAGCCCATGGAGGAAAACACCTTCAGTATCAGTCAGTCAGCATTTCAGTACACCAAACTCTTCTTGGTATAACTGGTATTTAGCACACTCTCGTGTATGCGGTAGGTACTCAATAGATTCCTTTCAAATTTAATATCCAAAAATTCCTTTACTGTTCCCAAGAGTGGCTGGCTAGCCACCAAAAAACCCCACAAAAACTATAGTTCCTAAGAGTGGAATCTGGGAGTGCAGCAAAATTCGAAGTAAGACACATGGCAACAGGTCTGGGTGAAGACACAGAGGGAACACACACACACACACACACACACACACACAATACCACGTCACGTGGCAATCCCAGCTGCAGAACTGTTGCTTTGCTCTACTCACCCAGGCACAGGAAATGCCCAATCTGTAGCTTATACCTCTGGGATGAGAAACATGTGAGCAGCAGACACAGCACATGGAAGGCAGCCAGCCCCACCAGCCAGGGCTCCGTCCAGTCTGTCTGCTGTGGGAGAAACCGTGAGCAGCTCATCGTCCTGAGCCCACGCAGGGCCAGGTTTCACCCTTGTGGCACGGCATTCTCACAGGTCATGGTGGATGGAAATAGGAAACCCTCCATTGCAACTACAACCCACGGATCTTTTAAAACTTTAAAGTCCCAGCCCACAGGACTGAGGGCACCACTGACCCACCACTTTTGTTAAACGGAATCACGTTTCTCAGCTGGGTAAACTCTAAGAGATCATCATCCCCTA